ACCACAACGCCCAGCTATTTTTTGGTTGCAGCCGTCATTGTTGTTTGGTGGGTCCGGGCTGGGGATTTGAACCCGCCACTTTAGGTGTATGTGGCTGGCGCCTTAGCCGGTTGAGCTATAGGCGCCGAGCCTCCACTGTGCTCTTGTGATATGATATTGATAATAGCACAGGAGTTGGGGTTTCAAAGGCACAACAAAAAAAACATTATGCCAAGCAACAATGAGCACCAAAGTGTGTATGTGTATAATTTGTGTACATACTGCGAGATGGTACTTATTAAGCTCTTACTGAATACCAGTCATGGTGCCAAGTACTTATTTAGGTTTTTCTCATTTAACCCATAAAACAGCTCCCTACAGTAGAATTGTTCTATTTCAGTTGAGAACTGAAGAGCAAATACCTTGCCAAGACACACATCTAGTAAGCGGCATAGACAGTATGTAAATCTGGACCTGCCAAATCCAACCCTCTGCTGTTCTCTGCCTACGTTAGAGCAGCCCAGGGGTGTACTGGCCTGTGGTGTGTTCATTTGACCCATTGTATTGCACACACCTACCTATTAGAGCCAGGCACTGCTGTCGCTGTGGAAACAAAAGTGAAAAACCCACCAAGTTCCCTGGGTTCATAAGAGTGTACATGTTAGGTGAGGCTAACACATAATAAATGAGTAGACAGATTATCCACATAATCCCAAAGAGTGACAAGCATGATGACAATAACACAGAGCAATGTGCCAGTGGCCTGGTGGGGGTAGGGAGAGGTTACTTGAGATTGAATGGTCAGGGATGGTCTCTGGAGGAGGCTAAACATTTGAGCCAGCCTCATGAAGACATGGTAGGAGCATGGAAAGAGTTGGGTAGGAATTCTACCAGAATATTGAAGGAACTGAAGAAAGGCCGGTATTGCTGGAATATTACCAGGCACTGTAATCCTAACACCTGAGCTCAGGAGTTCAAGACCAGCCTAAGCAAGAACAAGACCGTTTTGCTAAAAATAGCCAGGCATTGTGACTGGCACCTGTAGTCCCTGCTACTTGGGAGGCTGAGGCAAGATCACTTGAGCCCAAGAGTTTGAGATTGCTGTGAGCTATGACTCCATGGCACTCTACCCAGGACAACAGAGTCAGACTCTGTCTCAAAAAAAAAAAAAAAGAAAGAAAGAAAGAAACAGGATGGGAAGGGAAGTTGGGGCACTTGGCAAGACCCAGATCACAAGAGCCCTGTGTTGGTAGTGGTAACACGCTGCTTGATTTTTAGTCTAAGGGCAGGGTGAATCTTGGAAGGTATAAAATGGAATGATCTGCTATGATCCCATGTGTAGTTCAGCAAGGGCTGGGTAGAAAACAATTTCAGAGGAACTAGAGTGGAAGCTGAGACTGGGTCAGGTGGCTCACACCTGTAATCCTAGCACTTTGGGAGGCTGACATGGGAGGTTTTCTTGAGCCCATAAGTTCAAGACTAGCCTGAGCAAGACCTTGTCTCTCCAAAAAACAGAAAAATTAGCCAGCTGTGGTTAATGTGTACCTGTAGTCTCAGCTACTCAGGGGGCTGAGGTAGGAGGATCTCTCAAGCCCAAGAGTTTGGCATGGCAGTGAGTTATGATGACACCACTAGACCCTAGCCCAGGCAACAGAATGAGACCCTATCTCGGGGGGG